TGTGCTGCAGCTACTATAGGAGGAAGAGTTTATACTCAATAGGATTCTTACAATTTCAACAACGACTGGAATTATTTAGGTTTGTACATATACATTATTGTAGCAGCAATAGTACTTACACCCAATACTACCATGAGAACTTTTTATGATCTTAAAATGTGCCATAATTGAGAAAGAGCGTAACTATCTGTAATCATACAATGTATGTCTGCTGTGCTCAGTCGTGTCCGACTGTTTGCAACCCCATGGACTGAACCCCAGGCCTGCAACCCCAGGTTCCTCTATCCATGGAATTTTCCAGGCAAGAACACTGGAGCGAGTAGCCATTTCCTACTCCAGGGGATCTTCCTGACCCAGGGACTGAACCGACATCTCTTGTGTCTCCTGTATTGGCAGGTGAGTTCTTTACCCCTGCACCACCTGGGAAGCCCAATCGTGCAAATACTTTTCTTTAAAGAGTGGGTTTTTTTTTTTTTCTCCCAACCAGGAAGGGACCTGAGTTCTTTAGTGCAGACAAGGAATAAATATTGAGTTGGCCAAAATGTTTAAAAACACAAATGAACTTTTTGGCCATCCCAATACATAAAGGCTGAGAACAACTCATCTAATTCAATGCTTAGCCTACATGATGGCTGGTTTCAAGCGGCAGATCAAGGCTGTAGAACCACAAGTCCCCAAAACTGCACAGAAACCAGGGTTGTGGGAAAAGGCTCCTCTTAATTCCACATTCCCATTTCCTCCTCAGATGTACAACTGAAAGCACAGTGGCAGTTGGACAGAGCTACCAGGAGGACCCGAGTCCCCCAGCAGTAACTGACCCTGTAATGTATTTGTCAGTAGCTCCCACCTCCCTTCCCTGCTCCAGGAGGGCAGCCAACCCGATGTTTTGTTAGCCTGCCAGTTGACTACAGGAACAGGGCAGCCCATCAAGGACCAGCCAAGTGAGATGAGTACAAACAGCCAAGCTAAGAAATAAATGCTGTCTTTTAACAAGTAAGTTTTGGGGTGAACTGATTCCTAACTAGCTGATATAAGCTAACCGATATAAAAACTCCAGTCTAAAGAGTGAAATGGCCTGCTGAAAATCACTGAGCTGTATAGCGGCCTGAATGTGAAGTGAAATCAAATTAAGTCTGGGCTAATAGGTAACTGGATGAATAAATATGTCTTTAGGTTATTTATTAATGCAGGCTCCTCAGTTCAGTTCATTCACACAGTTGTGTCCGACTCTTTGCAACCCCATGAATCATAGCACGCCAGGCCTCCCGGTCCATCACCAACTGCCAGAGTCTACCCAAACCCATGTCCATGGGTTTGGACATGAGTCGGTGATGCCATCCAACCATCTCATCCTCTGTCGTCCCCTTCTCCTCCTGCCCTCAATCTCTCCCAGCATCAGGGTCTTTTCAAATGAGTCAGCTCTTCGCACCAGGTGGCCAAAGTACTGGAGTTTCAGCTTTAGCATCAGTCCTTCCAATGAATACCCAGGACTGATCTCCTTTAGGATGGACTGGCTGGATCTCCTTGCAGTCCAAGGAACTCTCAAGAGTCTCCTAGGTTTAGTTATTAAACAAGGAAACATTTATGGAGCATATAAATAGTACTTTCAGAGAAGGCAATGGCACCCCACTCCAGTACTCTTGCCTGGAAAATCCCATGGACGGAGGAGCCTGGTAGGCTGCAGTCCATGGGGTCTCGAAGAGTCAGACATGAATGAGTGACTTCACTTTCACTTTTCACTTTTATGCATTGGAGAAGGAAATGGCAACCCACTCCAGTGTTCTTGCCTGGAGAATCCTAGGGATGGGGTCGCACAGAGTTGGACACAACTGAAGTGACTTAGCAGTAGCAGTAAATAATACTTTGCTGAGTTGCTGGGAAAATAGGAAAATCAAGGCATGGTGTCTTATCTTCAGAAGGCCCAGATTCTACTAGAAGATATAACATGGATAGATAAAGAAAATAGAATGTAATAAAGATAACAATAAATACATAGGACTTTATGGGCTGGTAGAAGGGGAGCTGTGACCCAGGCTGAGAGGTACAAGTGGGCTTCTGGTTACTAGGCACATACCCTGAGAAAGCCATCATTCAAAAAAATACACATACCCTTTTGTTCACTGAAGCACTATTTACAATAGCCAGGACATGGAAGTAACCTAAGTGTCCATGGACAGGTGAATGGATAAAGAAGAGATGATACATATATACAATGGAGTATTACTCAGACAGAAAAAGGAATGGAATTGGGTCATTTGTAGAGACAGGAATGGACCTAGAGTCTGTCGTATAGAGTGAAATAAGTCAGAAAGAGAAAAACAAATATCATATATTAATGCATGTATGTGGGATCTAGAAGACTCATACAGATGAGCCTCGTTCCAGGGCAGGAACAGAGATGCAGATGTAGATGTAGAAATGCAGATGCATGGACACGTGGACACGGGGTATGGTCAGGGATGGGGAGCATGGGATGAATCGGGACTGACATACACACTACCATGTGTAAACGAGACAGCTAGTATAAATACTGTGCTTTATAGAAGCTGCTATAAAGCACAGGAAGCTCAGCTCGGGGCTCTGTGATGACCTGGGGGTGGGATGGGGGGCTGGGAGGGAGGTCCAAGAAGGAGGGGATGTATGTGTACATGTAGTTGATCCACTTCATTGTAGAGCAGAAACCAACATAACACTATGAAGCAATTATACTCCAAAAAAAAAAAAAAAAATCAGGAAAAAAAGTGATGCCTCGGCAAGGCTTAAAGAATAAAGGGAGACTGCCAGCTTGGAGTGGAGGAGGAGGGGAGGAAGGCAAGGTAGGGCAGCAAGAGGAAATAACAAGCAGGGTGCGCGTCGCGCAGGGTGTGGAGCCACCAGCAGACGAGGGCTGCTGGACAGTGAGGAGGAGAAGGACAACACCGCTGAGAATGACATCAGATCCTGGACGGTTCACGTGCCACGGCAAAAAGCTTCAATTCTCTATCCTGGGCGAGGAGAAGCCACTGAAAAGTTCTAGGCAATCAGATCAGCATCTCTGAAACATCATTCTGGCATCACAGAGGATGGGTCAGGGAGACAGGAAGGACAGTTGAGAGTCCATGGAGACATGAACTATGCCAGTCACAGTGGGGATGAACAGGAAGAGGTGGAACTGAAAATCATTTAGGAGGGAGAACCTGGAGGCATCGGTAATGGACAGGCTGGCTGGGGGACTGCAACAGAAGGTAGACACAAGACAAACCCCAGTTTCCTGCAGGGTGGCTAGGTCTTGGATGTCCACCATCTTTCCCAACTCTGTTTATGCTCTTGACAGTTCGATGTGGGTATAAAACTTTGATCTCTGTTCAGTTAAATTCTGGGAGCTTTTCATGCCTGTTCTTACTGCTAAGATCCTTCTGAATCCTGCCATGGATATCTGATACATTTCCACACTGGTGGCTGTAGCTATGGATAAGCTTCATCCAAACCTTTGATAAGAAAGTAAAGAAGGAACCAAGAACCTTAGCTGGAGTTGTAGACCCAATTCTGGATATACTCTGAATATAATTAGATATACATCAAAACAGTGAAGGGACAGAAGAAAAGTCCCATGAAAAAGGAAAAGTAAACGGCAGGTGTTTAACTTGGAGAAGAGGTGACTCAGGAGAGGATGGTCACTTCCAGTGGAAGAGGAGTCCCTCTTTCATAGGACTGTCTCCATGGCGATATACTAGTGCCAGAGAACATCACACCATCCACAGATTGGAAAAGTTCAGTTTGACATGAAGCAGGACTGTCTAAGAGTCAGAGACACCTGGAGGTGGGGCGGGCCACATTGGCATAGAGTAAGCAGAGACATCACTTTGCCAACAAAGGTCTGTCTGGTCAAGGCTATGGTTTTTCCAGTGGTCATGTATGGACGTGAGAGTTGGACTGTGAATAAAGCTGAGCACCGAAGAATTGATGCTTTTGAACTGTGGTATTGGAGAAGACTCTTGAGAGTCCCTTGGATTGCAAGGAGATCCAACCAGTCGATCCTACAGGAAATCAGTCCTGGGTGTTCACTGGAAGGACTGACGCTGAAGCTGAAACTCCAGTATTTTGGCCACCTCATGCGAAGAGTTGACTCATTGGAAAAGACCCTGATGCTGGGAGGGAATGGGGGCAGGAGGAGAAGGGGACGACAGAGGATGAGATGGCTAGATGGCATCCCCGACTCGATGGGCATGAATGTGAGTAGACTCCAGGAGTTTGTGATGGAGAGGGAGGCCTGGCGTGCTGCAATTCATGGGGTCGCAAAGAGTCAGACACAACTGAGCGACTGAACCGAACCAAACCGAAAGCATCTGTATAAATTTGCTAGAGCTGCCCCAACAAAATGCCACAAACTGGGTGCCTTAAATAATAGGAATTTATTTTCTCTAGTTCTGAAGGCTAGAAATTCAAAATCAAAATGTCAGCAGGGTTGGTTTCTTCTGAGGTTTCTCTCCTTGGCTTGTAAATGGCTGTGCCTCTGACCTGTCTCCTCTTCTTATAAGGACCCCAGTCCCACTGGATGAGGATCTACCCATATGACCTCATTTCAATTGAATTACCTCTTCGAAGACCCTAACTCCAAATGCAGTTTGAGTTACTGGGGTTTAAGATTCCCAAGGATACATTTTTAAGGGATCACAATTCAGTCCACAACACAGCCTGTCAACAGGGATGTGTAAACAGAGGTCTGATGACTGTCAACCAGAGGAAACCAATGAAGAAATTGAAGTAACAAATTCAGAGTGTCCTTGAAGGTCCCTTGAGGTCTCAGAGCTATGATTCTCAACATTGCGAGAGGGCACCTCAGCCCTGCTGTTAAACATTATTAACACAATAATCTCCCCGGGGCTTCAGACAATAATTACATTTTCATGGCAGCTTAAATGATGGATGAGAAATGTTGCTTTACTTTAACCCTTCTTGGAGGAAAGGCGCAGGCCGGCAGCTACACACGAGAACCTCCAGAGGACAACCGGCACGCTTACCTGTGAAACAGGACAGACTTCACCAAGGTGACTACGTCCCGGCTGGCGTTGTATCCGGCACAGACAATAGCAACATGGATTGTCTGGGAAGAGAACAGAGGAGCAATTAGATGGAGGAGAGGGATTTTCCTGGTGCTTCTGATGGCATGAGAAAGTGCCCTATATCTTGTTGGGATGGTCGGGACACAAGGAACATTGGCGGCAGCTGTGAAGAATAACTCCAGACAGTTTTATTAAGGCCTTTTTAATCGGTTTATGGAGCTATCATCATTTAGAAACCATTAAGGCTCTTTTCAATTACATTTTGGGGACGAGAGAAATGGCAATTGGCTTGAATAGGCAAACAGTGTGTTCCGTGCCCCCAAGCCTGGAGACAATGACAATCGGTAACAAGAGAGGAGAAAGAAATACACCCGAATGTATGAATTGACAATCGGGGATCTCAGTTGGAGACGTGGTGGCTCAGAGTTCAGGAAATGTTCTCACAGGACATCTCAGGTCAGGGGCAATCTGATAACAGGACAAAGGGAACCAAGAAACACCAATGGGCCCAGCTGGGATACCATTCAGGGAACTGAAGGCTGCAGAATCAATGGGACATGGATGGATCATCTCACCGAAGCACTTGAGAGCATGGGCCCCAGCATGCCCATTAACCCCGGGTGACCCAGGAAAGCTTCAGCATCAGGTGGCTGACTGTAACATGATGGTCAAGACACACTCATGCAGGATGTCACGGAAGGGAGCTATGTCAAGTACAGAGATGCGGCACAATGCAGTCTGATCGCAGAAGAAAGGCCCTCGAGAGCTGAGCTTCCGAAACGGGGGTGATTTGGCATCTTGGTGTGCCATGAATAAATTACAGGTGATGAAGATAATGCATCTCTTCAAGTGAGAGTTCCAGGCTACTGGGCAGGCTACCCCTTGGACTTGGCTGCCCTCTGCTGCCTGCGATTTTTATGCTCCCCTGGGCACCCAATACTGAAATTCAAAGAAGGGGTCTTAATAGGCACTGCTTCATTTTCAGAACCATGCATGGCCCTTCCTTGTGGTGCCTGGCTCCCAGACTCCCCGTTTTCCTCACCAGCCACTTCCAGCTGCAGGGCAGTTTTGATGTCCTGCTCACCCCCATAAACAGGCTTCCCCAGACCTACGTCAGCCTGTGCCACCTGACATCACCAAAAGGTTAACCATATCCAGGATAAACCAACCAAGAGTCTAGGATGCACTTGCAAGACCTTTTTAATTCCAACGACCTTCATTCCACCCTGGCTACTCACTCAGTGCCAGGTATGGAACCTCGGCTTCCTCCAGATCATCACTTTTGAGAAATTATGGGTTACCCACAGCTCTAGGATCCTCAGAGCCTCTCACCCCTGCAGCTGTCCCTCCCCTTTATGGAGACCCCCCCCCCCCCCGCCCCACTTCACCCTGTGTATCAGGCCCTACCTGCTTACCTGACCCATCTACCCTGCCCTTGGCTCCCTGACATGTTCAGCCCACACATGCAATACACAAGCCAACGCCCCACAGTCAGGGAAGCAGGATCCCTGCTCCACACTTATATGGAGGACCAAGAAGGAAGACGAGGGAAGACAGAAGAGAAGAATCACTACGCTAAGAGCTAATATTTATTGAGCAAATTAGTACATACTGGGTACAGTACTTAGCACTTTACACAGATTGCCAGGTTTAAACTGTACAAGACAAGTACAGGGTTACTATTTCAGTATTAGAGATCAGGAAACAGGCTGAGAGAGATGGCATTTGAATTTTGCATAAGAGATTCTTCACCCTGCTGGTGGTGCATCAGAAACACCCAAAAGATCTCAAAAATGTACCCTGTGCCCCAGCCCTGTCTCACACCAATTAACTCACACTCTCAGATGTCCAAGACTTTAACTACTCTACTAGAAGGCAGTGGTTCTCAATAGGGGGTAATTCACTCCCCTCTGCTTCCCCTATGACATGTGGCGATGTCTGAAGTCATTTTGGGTTGTCACTGCTGGGGATGTGAGGAGTGGCATTCTATGGATGGAGGCAGAGATGCTGCTCTGCATTCTACAATGCACAGGGTGGTCCCAAAAGAATCACCCTAAGTGAAAAAGGTCAAGAGCACTGTCTCTAGGAAACCCTGTTTTAAGGAAGGAGAGGGGCAGTGAGAGGAGGCTTAGATCCCACAGGACACCAAAGCCACCTTTTCAATCTCATTTCTGCACATCTCAACTTCCCCACCTGTAAAATGATGACAGCCCTGCTTACCTCTGGAAAATATCTCCCAAAGACTCAGAATCAAAGTCTGTAAGGCATATGCAACTGTCACTGTTTGAATAGTGGAGGAGATGAATAGGAAAATGCCTGCCCATGGGAGGTATAACCAGGGTGGAAACAAGAATGGGTAAATGCATGCTGAATCAGGCTCTTTGGAATCGCAAATATTTAAACACCCGGCCTCTGAGATATCAAACTTTGTCTTGGCTTCAGGGTTCAGGGACTTTTTTAAATGGGCCCATTAAATGTAAGCACAAACGCGCACATTCTCAAACATTTTACATAATTTCCCAATCTCTTTAGTTTCATCCAGCACACCTGCCACCATGAATAAATTCATCATCTGCAGCCGCCACCACAGAGCCCTGCTACCCAGGAAGGCAAAAAACTGGAGTGTCACGAACACGCACCTGAAAGAGCTCGGGGTGGTCCTAAATTTTGTGGGTGCAGAAGAGAATGGCAGGAGTGAGGCGGGGCTCGAGGCAGGAGTGGGGGCAGTCTGGAGACAGGGACGAAGGTTCCTTGAAGGACCAGGGGTGCATACATGGCCTCACTAAGAGAATTTTCCATTTTGAAGCTATGAAGTCCAGGTTTCAAGTTTCTCAATGTGGTGGCTTAAAGGTGGTCCCAGATACCCGGATGTTCCTCCCCTCAAAGGAAAGGGTCTAGCATCAGATTCTGTGACCACTTGTTCACTCCTCCCCTATACTTGGTAGACATCATACTTGCCTTTATTGGTCAGAAATTCTGAATATAGTGTGATCTTGGACTCACTGTCCTTTTCCAACTGAATTTGTGCCCCAAGAACCTTTTGTAGACCGAATTAATTGGGTTCCTGTCACCCTGTTTATTTAACTTATCTGCAGAGTACACCATGCAAAATGCTGGGCTGGATGAAGCACAAGCTGGAATCAAGATTGCCAGGAGAAATATCAACAACCTCAGATATGCAGATGACACCACCCTTATGGCAGAAAGCTAAGAGGAAATCCTGATGGGGGGAAAGAGGAGAGTGAAAAAGCCTGGCTTAAAACTCAACATTCAGAAAACTAAGATCATGGCATCTGGTCCCATCACTTCATGGTGAACAGAAGGGGAAAAAGTAGAAGCAGAGACAGACTTTATTTTCTTGGGCTCCAAAATCACTGCAGATGGTGAGTGCAGCCATGAAATAAAAAGACACTTGCTCCTTGGAAGGAAAGCTATGACGAACCTAGAAAGTGTATCAAAAAGCAGAGACATCACTTTGCTGACAAAGGTCCGTCTAGTCAAAACTATGGTTTTTCCAGTAGTCACATACTGATGTGAGAGTTGGATCATAAAGAAGCTGAGCACTGAAGAATTGATGCTTTTATACTGTGGTGTTGCAGAAGACTCTCGAGAGTCCCTTGGACTGCAAGGAGATCTAACCAGTCGATCCTACAGGAAATCAGCCCTGAATATTCATTGGAAGGACTGACGCTGATGCTACAATACTTTGGCCACCTGATGGGAAGAGCTGACTCACTGGAAAAGACCCTGATGCTGGGAAAGACGAAGGCAAAAGGGGAAGGGGACAACAAAGGATGAGATGGTTGGATGGCATCAGACTCAATGGACATAAGTTTAAGCAAAGTCCGGGACACAGTGAAGGGAAGGGAAGCCTGGCTTGTTGTGGCCCATGGGGTGGAAAAGAGTCAGGCATGACTCAGCGACTGAACAACAACAACAACAAACTGTGTTCCTCCTCCCTCTGGTTTCTGGTTGAGTTTGGTCAATGGGAGACCTCAGCAGGAGTCCAAAGCCCCTCTCCCGCTTTACCTCTAGTTATGGTTCCACAAGTCCTCCTCCTGCCCCCGCAGGCCTAGGAGTTGTGGTGACTCCCTCCTGGGAACTTTACAACCCTCACTGGTTCCCCTGAATCCTGCCCATGCCTCTGGCCCCGTGTTAAATCCTCTCCCCACCTTTTCTGAGTGTGTCCCCTGTTTCTTGCTGGGACCTGACTAATTCTGGTGACTATTCCTCAGCACCCCACTTATCCTGGGGGCTAGAAGGGGACCTCTGATGCTTTGGGGCATCCATAGATGTATCACTGATCCCTAAGGCAAAGCAAGGCAGAAGGGCATCCAAATAACAAACCTGAGAATGGATAAATCGTAGGTATAAATTGGAAGGGACATGCCCTGGAGATCCAGTGATTAGGACTCAGTGTTTTTACTGCTGAGGGCTGGGTTCGATCCTTGCTTAGGGAACTAAGATTCCACAACCCATGCAGTGCGGCCAACATAATTTTTTTTTTTTTTACTTAAATAAATGTTAAGGCACTCTACAAAATTCTCAGACATAGGGACCACAGATTTTTTATAAGGAAAGCTTCCTGCTTTCTCCCTTTAGTCATCAATACGATGCTGCAAGCTGTACCTGGAGATACAGGTAAGAGTGCCAGAGCTGTGAACTGGGCTTCATTCCTGATGCCACTGGGGTCAAGTAAGTGACCTTCACTTTCGGGGCTTGCAGGAAGAATTCAAACATGACATAGGTGCTTTTAAAGAGACTGATGTGCCAGGCACTGTCCTGGGCTCAAACGATAGAAAGATCAATCGGCCTTTGTTCCCTGGGTCAAGTGAAGAGGGAGAAATACAGTCAACCAGACAATCCCATCAGAGACTGCGTATGCTCCTATGTCCACAGGCTCAGTGTCCCTTCCCCGCACCTTCCCCACCCACCGCCCGCCCCCCCCCCCCGCCGCCGCCGCGCAGCCAGCAGCATGGAGACCAAGCGGATGCAGGATGAACTTCCAGCAGAAGACACTACAGTTACTAGACCAGGGCAA